CTCATAAAAGGCTATCAGGTTGGTTAAACGTTACTTCCCCTTGGTAAAATCATGGTAAACTTGGTAAAATTTCCTATGCTTTGTCTGTTACCTTTCCCTGAAAGTGTAACTGGACTAAACCTTAAAGTTTATTCTTTAAAATAGAGCTTTGGTTTAAGGTATTAGTGAAATGATAGGAGAGAGAGATTCTTGAAGTATTACTCATAAAGACAGTAATCAAATTATACACATCCTGTACTAGTTGGATGGACTGAGAGTTGCCAGAAGAGGGAAGGAGTTGAAGCTTTGCATAAATTCTACAGAATGCTGTTAGGAAATGAAAGATTGCAAGGTTTTAACCTAAAGTTTGACCTGCGTGAATGGAAGCAGCAGCTCACACCTGTCAGAATTACTGCTGCTTTCCTGATTTACAGTGAAGTATCCATAGGTATGAAAGCAAGGGTGTGTTTCTGAGAGAAGAAAGTTTGATGAATGTAACTTAAGCATGTTATTATCTTTGGGCTTGTTTCCTATTTAGCTGTACACTTGCTATTACTTCAATTTTTTATTTTTATTTTTATTTTTTTTCAGATTCACAAGAAGGAAACTACAAGTCAGAGGTCAACAGTAAACCCAGGAAGGAAAGGACGGCTTTCACCAAGGAGCAAATCAGAGAGCTAGAAGCAGAATTTGCTCATCATAACTATTTGACCAGGCTGAGGCGATATGAGATAGCAGTAAACCTTGACCTCACTGAAAGACAGGTACTGATGGAAAATAATGGACTTCAAATGCTTGCCCAATATTTACCAGTAGTTTGTAGCTTCTTGCAGTAGAGCTCTTGTTTATGTCACTAACAGATATGTTGATATATCAGATTGAATGTTTATAGCAAAATTATATACATTTATTACCTCTCTGCTGTGCAAGAAATTTATATTTTTATATGTACCAGTTACAGATAAGTTTCGCCCAGTAGGCAGAGATTGAAGATAAAAGCATGAGTAATATAGCTGTTAAACTGGTGCACACCTTTTCTAGTCTTTCCACACTGATGTGGCTGAAGAAGTGGTATGTCCCAAATACTGCATGCACAAGCAGTTAATTTGCCTGCATGCAACAAATATGAGCATCTTGTTTTAGTCTATTAAATATATGCAGTTGCCATTTGTCCAGAGTTTCTGAACATCCTGTTTCCAGATGGCAGCAACAATGGGAACACCAGCAAAACTGGAATACAGGCATTTTTAACCACTTTATTTTACCCTGTGCTGTGAAAGCACAGGAGATAATGGAATTTCTTATCACTGTTAATGGTTTCCTGCTCACCAAACCCTGGTCCAGGAAACACTTCTGCACGTGCTCAAGTTTTGTCATGCATGTTGTCACATTGATTTCTAATGGAAATAGTCATGTTAAGCATGTACTGAAAGGTTTCAGAATCTCATCCCAACACACTAAGAGGTAGTAAAGTCACATTTCAAATAATAATTACATCAACAAACACATTTTAAAAATTTGTTTTAGTAAAGACATTCAGAATACTGGACTCAAGTATACCAAATCTGACGAAACATTACCTACAGTTTTATCGCTAAAATTGAAAGCTTTTTGCCCACTGATAAGCGAGTCATCCTTTCTTCAGGAATCAATATTAGATTGAGGGATAGCTTTAGATACAATCAGTAAGATTATTATATATTCAAGGGAAGGTATCAAAATAGTACCATGATTTGTGAACTGTAGATATGAGAAGTTTTGCAATTTTCTTGAGTTTCATTAACACCTGCCATAAGTAGACATCTCAGAGAAAATACAGCCTTTTCTGTGCATATGAATGCACATTTACTCACACAAGCAAATGAAACAGTTTTTTTTCTTTGAAGGCTTCTAGAGAATGGCTATCCTTTCCAGTTTGTCAGGAAGAAGCCAGTAATTTCTCTTGTTTGATTTGAACAAGTTGCCAGGTTCCACTGGGGTAGTTTTCAGTTACTTAAATATGTTTGTCACATTTGTAAAACACGCCATTTTGTATCAAACAATTGATAAATTTCTGCCTTTTTCATTTCCACTGACTAAGGTAAGCCAAGACAATTAGATTAACTTCCACACCTGATTTTGACAGCTGTAAGGGGAGGAGGAATAAATTCTTGTCTCAGTGACAAAGGTAGAGTTGGTCTGGAACTGAGCAATGATAAATAAATTTTAAAAAATATCTGCTGGACAATTTCATGGAAATCAGTCAGCTGAATTCGGAAAACATATCCCCATATTTAATAATGGTGAATTTGGCCTGGAATTTAACTATTCTCCCTGGTAAATTCTTTATTCTTTTCTTCAAAGATGAAGTTGAGTAGTACAACTAAATTAAGAGACAGTTCACTATCTTAAAGGAAATAGTTACACTAAAAGCATTTAACATACTGAAAACGGCCAGATAACCATTGAATATTGTCTTTGAGAAGAAAAGGCAGCATGTGCTACACAAGTGCAGAGAATTCATTTAAGTCATGGGAGCACTTGCTGTTTTCTAGCTGTCACATAATGTTGGTTCTAAGCATTCTGCTGATATTTGTGATAATTTCTATAGAATTATAATTAGTCTATCTAATTATCTAATCTAATTCTTCTCTGCTTCCCCAGATTATCACAGTGACAACTGAGCTGCTAGAGATAACTCCCTTCCTTCCTTCCTTCCTTCCTTCCTTCCTGCTTTCCTGCCTTCCTTCGTGCCTTCTTGCTTAAAGCCACCCTTGCTTAGGAAAGCAAAGCATTTTTAGCTTGATAGAGTCCAGTTCTTTATCTTGCCACAATAAAATGGTCTGAGAGAAAAGAAAAAAAAAAAGGCATAAAAACTGTATAGTTAATCAAAAAAAGAAAATTGAGAGGAAATTCTGGACATATTTTTCAGTTTCTGAATCATGCTAACACAAGTAATGATGTCACTTCCAATGTTGTCAATTAGAAATGTCTCTTTTTTAAATCAAATATGTTGCTTTGATGGAAAAATGGTATAAATAGGCATGGAACTGGGTGCGAGTTTCCATTGTATATGGCAATCTTCAAAAGCTGAATGCAGTAAATCAAAAGGCATGACTCTTCTTGCATACTTGTTTTACATCAGTATTCCTTTGGTAACTTAAAAAAAAAAGGGTGAGCCCAGTGTGATGCTAATAGGTTGGGGTTTTTTTCCAGTTAAGAGACTGAACTCATATTCAGGACCTGTCTTTCCATCATTAGCAGAATGAAAGATTATTCTTGAGTGCGGTAACAGCACTTATTTGTTTACTTACTACTGTAGTTATTATCTTTCACTAGCTGTCCCAACAGAGGAGATCATATTTAATACCTGTCTTAAACAGATGCAACAAAAGCAGTCCTTTCTCTAAAATTATTATGGCTGAATTAAAATATATTCATGGAATTAAAAAAAACCCCCACTCTCCAGTGAGGTAGCATTTTTAGAAAATTGCTATTTCTGGAATAGTTTTCCTTTACTATTTTTTCCCCAAAGGCTGCATTGTAGAAAATGGTACCTGCTACGCAGTAGTTCCTTTGTTTGAAATAACTGACCACACAAGTGATAACCTTGACCTCATCACAGGCTGCAGACCAATTTGTGTTGGAAGCTCTCTTGATCTGTCATGAAACACTGAATTTGCACACAGAGAACTGACACTTGCTTCAGATAATACAGGGACAAAAACTAGCAGTGGATATCAGGTGAACTAACCTATCTGCTCAGAAAGTAGGTTTGAGAGCAGTCCTAACCCCTGGTGGAATGAATTGTTTAGCATCATTGTTTTTAAAAAATTACAAGCATTATATTATTCAGAGGGCAGAAGAACAAAAAATAATCTGGGGAAAGTATTGTTGGGTCATCCTAAAGTAAAAACTTTCAGTTATTTCCCAAGATGTGAGATAAATCACAGAGCCTATTATCTTAAGAAAGCTCTATCTTCCTCTGACTATAGTGATAATTTCAACCATACGGCGCAGCTTAAAAGAGGCACTGACCAACTAACACTTCATAATTACCTTTCTGGCATTTAAACAAGCTGTAGAAAAAAACATATGTCTGACCATATTTAAAAAGCTATATAAGGGTATTAAAGTTTTCTACAGTCATCAAAGTAAGGCTCCATTTGACTTTTGAAAGAAGTTACAAGATCAGTTCAAACATAAATGACTCATGGAAGGCCATTTCACAAAAATAATAATGAAAAAAACCCTTCACAACATATGGATCAGGAGAAGGAAGTAATCCTATCACTCCCTAAAAAGGAAACCTGAGTTACAAGACAGGAGGATGAAATGAAATAAGTGCCTCAATTGCCTTGATATTAAGAGTGCACTTTGAGAGCATTATAAGAACATCTGGTGGTAGGATGGCTCTATTATGGTATTGTAAGAATTCCAGCAGTATAGGTACATATAATTCCTGCTCCATCTCTTACAGAGTGCACTCACAGTCCCTGCTCAGCCAGCAGTTAATAATTTTCAGCTGGCAGGCCTCTACAATATTTTGAAGAGCCAGTTAGACTAAAAACTATCTTAGATCCCTAGATATTTGTAACCTTGACAAATGCATTCTTGGCTTTTTTGTACATCCAGATAAACTTGGAGAAGGTTCCATGCAAACTTTTTAATATCTCACTGTGGGATGAGGAGAGGAAGCAGCTGCAGTGGGGTATCAGAGGTGTGGCAAAATGGACATTTTTATGGAGTTGGTCCTGCCAAATATAGAAAGCGTAGGAGATCTTTCCACCTCGCAAGATCATTTCGCATGGAGCTAATCAAGAGAGTAATGTTGCAGTTCTGCAGGCTAGCTAAGGTTACCGGAATAAACAGTCCAAATATGTAATGCTTCTCTTTGCCAATATAAACGGAAAATCCCACCTAGTCAGATTAAATTCTGCTGATGGCAATGAGAAGGTTTATTTCTTTTTAACTTTAATTTCCAATACCCACCCAGAAGCCAGCCACCAATCATTTATAACAGGCCTCAAGCCATTGATTTTGCATAGACAAAGCACAAAAGTTTGACAAAATGAAGAGTGCTTTTGCATCTGTATTTGGCTTCTATGTATGTGGTATCAACACAGGATGAGTGACAAAGGAAGAAGCTTTGTAATGCCTTTTTCTGCCAGAAAGATAAGCAGGCAGCATTATTATTTAAATGCATTTGGGCAATGTTGGTGTAATAGTTAGGGCAGTGGGGCCATAGCCCACACCGTAGCACTGCACTGTTATGAGTATACAAATAATAAATGAAGTTTCCTATTAGAAAAGCTTCCTCCAGACCAGGTTACCTCTATCTTGCATCTCAAGTGACTTCATTCAAATCCTTTTCAGCATCACAGAGCTCAGGGGAAGCTGATCACTGCATTTTTTAGGCTTGGCTGGTGAGGTAAAAGTAGCTCCCCTTAGTCACCCGGGTGAGAAACCAGAGAGTTCAATGTTCCTCAGCTGGGTGTTTGTTCTGAACCACCTCTGGAAGAGTCAATGTCTCTCCATGCATCACACAGCATGACTAGTTTCCTACTTTAGGAAGCTAGATTTCTAAGATTAGGTGGGGAAACTATTCCTCTGTATGCTTTCAAACAAGATCAGAGAATGGATTGATAGGACAAGCTTGACCATATCTGTCTGCTTTATTGTGCTGTTATGTCTTCTCTGAAAGGCAGCTGCTCATTCCAAGCTTCCACGTGTCAAGCACTCTCTATACACACTATAATAATGAGCCTGTGTGGCTTGAAATCCT